AACAACCCCCACCCACCCACCCACCCACCCTCAAGAGAGGGTTTAGGGCTTAGGTGTTTACATCACGCTGTACAAGCGTCCCTGAACAATGTCTCCTTGCAAGGTTCCGTCTGCAGGTGTGCAAGCACTTTCTGCAAGCCTCTGAGGTACCCCTGAACAAGAGCCGAAGTGTAGCTGCTGACTATTAGGGTTTAGGGTTTAGGGTTTAGGGTTTAGGGTTTAGTTAAAGGCATCTGAAGGGGTACTTGGGGCTGGGGGAGAGCTATCTGCGCACACTTCCACCGACGGACAGGGCCGAAGGGCGAACAAATAAATCTCGTGGATGTCCTCTCGCTTGTCGAGGACCTTCAGAATAAAGTGTGAAAAGTACCCCGTTATGATAATCCCAACGAAGGACTCTGTATATAATCCCGATGAAGGACTGTTAGTATACCTTCAGAAAAGAGTGTTGCGCTTCGAGGAGCAGGACGCTGAGGGCTTGCTGAAGTTGAGGGTTTACGAGCCTAAACCCTAAATTCTGAACCCTAAACCCTAAACCCTAAACCCTAAACCTCTTAGGGACTCAAGTTCTCAACACAAACCCACCGTCGCGGACCACCCGAAGCCCTAAAACCCAGGGGTGAGCTCGGGCAGCCCGGTGGCTTCAATACGTTCCGTTATTGATATGGAAGGGAGGGGTGGAGCCTAAACCCTAAACTCTAAACCCTAGACCCTAGACCCTAGACCCTAGACCCTAGACCCTGAAGCCGAAACCCGTGAACTCTCGGGAGCTTAGGGAGATGTCCTAAGAAATATCAGGGCTCCCAACAGAACCGATGTACAAAAACCCGAGGAAAAACTCTTAGTTTAGTGTTAAGGGCTTTTGGGTTTAGGGTTTAGGGTTTGGGGTCTGGAGTTTGGGGTTCGGGGTTTGGGTTTAGGGTTTAGGGTTTTGGGGGCCTACTTGAAGGTTCCAGAACTATGAGCATGGCTGCATGTGCCCTAGCTATGTAATGTTGACGATCTTTTTAATGAAGGGGTGTTAACGACAACTATTTGTCGGCAGCAAGTTGGGCCCAGAAGTTTGGTTCATGAACGAGTTCCGATAAGTTAGCTTATCTTCGTCTGATATTCTACTTGGAGATCACAAAAGGTGGTGTTCAATGGCGAACACTATTTCAAAAAAAGCCCCTTCATGTTGGGAACTGCTCAAAGGGGAAACATGAAGACCCTAAACCCTAAACCCTAAACCTTAAATCCTAAACCCTAAACCCTATTTCGGGTTGTGGGGCTGCGACGGCCTCCTCTCGCAGGAAGTGTACCCACTGCTCGCGCTCGGCAAAGCGCCCGGCAAAGGGGATATTAATGCGCCTGTCTGAGATGGGGAGGTTTAGGGTTTAGGGTTTAGGGTTTAGGGTTTAAGGGTTTTAGGGTTTTAGGGTTTTAGGGTTTTAGGGTTTTAGGGTTTTAGGGTTTTAGGGTTTTAGGGATTTAGGGATTTAGGGATTTAGGGTTTTAGGGTTTTAGGGTTTTAGGGTTTTAGGGATCAGGCATCAGGGTTTAGGGTTTAGGGTAGTTTAGGGTTTAGGGTTTCCGTCTATAGACCTGCAAGCCCTTCAAGCCCTAAAAGCCTTAGAAGCTTTGTAAATTCTTAAAACTTTGAATACCTTATGAGCGACTGCCAAAACCGGCTCGAGGTGCTAATGGACGCAACAAGATGGGTGTCGCTTTTCAATTGTTCCCATCGTTTACAGGGTTTTAGCATCAATCGTCCACGCTTGATGTTTGCAGGTGTCGCTTTGGGAAAAAATCACGGCTATAGCACACCCAACAATTCATTACCCTAGGGGTGTCGCTTTTCAAGTGTTCCCATCGTTTTACAGAGTTTTGGGCATTCGTGTCCACCCCTTCCTTAATTGAATGGCTGGGGGTTTTGGCGCTTGCTCTTATGAATTAAAACCTCTACACCCTACAACACTTCCAAACCTCTGTCAAGCCTTCTGAGTCCGCCAAAGCACTTATCACCCCTTATAAGCCCTGGAAAAACCCTGAGCCCTAAGCCCTGATGAGCCCAAAGCCCCCTAAATCCTAAACCCCGAACCCTAAACCCAAAACCCTAAAACCCCAAACACTGAACCCAAGCCCCCGAAGCCCTGAACCTTTGAAAGCTGGCATCTCTGAAGCCAAGGCGCAGCCGCCCAGACGCGTCGGGCGTCGCCGCATCAAAGACGTCCTGCGCCGTGGGCTTCGGCGGGGCGCCCAGACGCTAAACCCTAAACCCTAAACCCCAAACCCTAAACCCGAAACCCTAAACCCCAGACCCTAAACCGTCCCGCTAAAGAGCCGAATCCCCAAGCCTTCCACATGCAAAACCCCTCCGACGCACCTCATCTCGCAGCCGGCGAAGGAAGGAAGCATACCTTAGGGCTTATAGGGTTTAGGTCTCAGGGTTTAATGTAGGGTTTAGGGTTTAGGGCTCAGGGTAACTCCTGAATTTGCCCGTGCTAAAGATTATTGTCGGTCGGGTGCCCGAAGCCCTCAAAACCCGATTGTAGGGCAACATGCAATCACCTAAAGCTGAGCGGATCGCGAAGCTACAACGGCTCAAGTGGCACCTGCACCAACCCGGAGAGTGAAACACCCCCACCTCAAGCACACTTGAATAGCAAGCATGGAACCAGGTGGTATAGCACGTGTACTATCAGCACATGATGTCTCGAGAGCGATTGGCACATTAGCACCTCTACTTCCTGCCACCATGTTTAGCAGCAATTGCCGCCACGGTGCGCGGCGCGTTCCTGTTCCTCCGAGCAGAAGCCAAACTCAGCGCAGCTCCCCTTGGACCACATGGACGACCAGTTGGACCTGATTCGGTCACGTCTGGGCTTTGATGGTGCTAAGTCGAAGGGCGCATGCAAAAGGCCTTGGAACGAAGCTTCACTATGAGGGCGCGTGCAAAAGGATATTGCACCAAGCTTTGCTGTGCATTCTTTGGAGGCTTCGGGAATCCGATGCGTGGGGAGGTGTTGAAGAGAGAACAGCGCTGGTGCCTGTAAGCCTTACGACCCCAAAGCCCCAAATCCTTAAACTCTGCATCCCTAAACCCTAATTAAACCCCGAACTCTAAATCCTAAACCCTAAACCGCAACACCCCCCCCCCCCCCCCCCCCCTGCATCCCTTAGTTTACAAAACTTGGGACCCTCAACAGAAACCCCCAAATACTAGGCTTCCCTACTCATTCCCTAACAATCAGGCTCCCAAGAGGGTATCCCTAGTTGTGAAAACCCGAAATCCTACATGCAGCAACCCTACACCCTAAACCCAAACACCTAAACCCTACTAAACCCTACTAAACCCTACTAAACCCTACGAAACCCTACTAAACCCTACTAAACCCTACTAAACCCTACTAAACCCTACCAAACCCTACCAAACCCTACTAAACCCTACTAAACCCTACTAAACCCTACTAAACCCTACTAAACCCTACTAAACCCTACTAAACCCTACTAAACCCTACTAAACCCTACCAAACCCTACCAAACCCTACCAAACCCTAAACCCTGAACCCGAAACCCGAAACCCTAACCTAAACCCTAAAACACTTAGGACTTAGGATCCCGACATCGCTGTGGTTGCCCCCTGCTCGGAACCTGACCGATTCATAGGCTGTTTTCGAACACCCCCGCCCCACTTACCCCTTCCCCCCTGCCCCGGTTCAGGGCTTAGGGTTTAGGGTTTAGGGTTTAGGGTTTAGGGTTGAGGGCCTTAGGGTTGAGGGCCTTAGGGTTCAAGAGCTTACAGCTTAGGCGGGTGGCAGCGGGCCATGCTTTTGTGAGGTTGCTGGGTCGCTGCTGTTTCATGTTTCGGGGTTTTAAGTGGCCATATGTTTTTTGGGAATGCACTCAGATGACATCACTCGCCTTTCTGTTTGTTGAGTTCTGGCCCACGGGTTATTATTTAAGAATTCGTTGTCCTGTCGGCCTGGGAGATCGCACGCCAGGGAGGACGCGGTACGCTTGAGGGGCGTGCGCGTCTGCATGTGCGCGGTTTCGGCTCAGTCTTCCACCTTGCTCTCCCTCCAGCACACCAGTTGCGGGGCCGGTTGAGGTTTTTTAAGGGGCTACTTGTAGGGCCAGCCGTCTCCCCCCCCCCCCCCCCCGCGCCGTTCCTTCCAAGGACAAAAACGGAACCCTAAACCCTAAACCCTGAAACCCCCAAACCCTACAAAGCCCCACCCCGGCCTCAGCCCTGAGCGTGCCAGGAAGTGGAAGATATCGGTGCCCCGGAACTTGCGTTTGCAGGGGGGGAGAGGGGCTTCCTCTTCTATAAGCCTACACGAAGTGGTATACAAGATGGCCACAAGGAAGCCATAAGAGGATCATCATCGCAAGCGTAATCGAGGCTTCTACATTCGTCGGGTTCTTAGTTGGAGCGTGGCGAGTTTCATGTCTGGAGGATGCTTGCAGGGCATTTGGCGAGGCTTTCGCCAATGATAATTTTGACCGACGCTGTGGGTTGATGTAGGAGTCGGACTGGACAGGATGTTCAAGCCCCTTACACTTCACTTCTTACTAAACCCTAAGTGGCAATGATGGCCTAGAGGGGTCAGGTGCATGGTAGGTCACAGGAGTGTAGGATAAGCAGTGGCGTTGGTGAGCGCTACCCCCATGCGGATACTTCTCTGGCAGCCAATGGGCTTGAGCCAGTCGGCCAGCAGACAGGGCTTATGGTTTAGGGTTTAGGGTTTAGGGTTTAGGGTTTAGGGTGAAGATGGATCCAGAATGCGAAGTATTAGGGATCTAGACCCTCTGAATAAGGTCCCTGTTCAAGAGAGCCAGAAGAGGGTTCAGAAGGGCTCCCTTTGAAGGGTCCCCCTTAGGGTATTAGTACGAATCCAGCGAGAGGCCCCAATACGGCGAAGGCTCCATGTACTCAGGGTTTAGGGGTTTGGGACTCGGTTCTTAGCGCAAATGGCGCGGGGTGAACTCAATCAAAAGTCGGTCTTTGAGGTTCGCACGTGCTGCTCGTTCAAGTTGGTGGTCTCGCTGGTGACGAAGCCCTGAACATTTCAAGTTATTGGTAATCTCCTTCGGCACAACTGCTTGATGTGAAGGCGAGCTACCGGCAATCTATGTAATTTCTTGAAGGGATCACATGCAATCATATGCAGCTTCAGCTGACTGAATGCGCAAACTCCACAAGGACTTAAGGTACTTAGCTCTTCAGCGCAACATGTGTCTAGCACCAAACGCCACGGAGCCACATGCCTCGAGGCGCTGTATCAGGGTCGCGAGGCGCGCTTCCTGAAAGAAAGGCTCCACCGTAGGAAACGCGGGGCATAGGCCAGGTCATAGAAAGGAGCGGGGACGCCTAGTTATCACAGTACTTTATGTGCCATGACTCTCTGCCACATGAGCGGCCTGTAGACGCAGCCTAAAACCCAAAACTTCTTCGCAGGTCCTAGTAAGCTGTGATATCTCAGTTTCACAGCAGGCTCACAACCCTAAAACCTAAACCCTAGACTCTAAACCCTAAACCCTCAACCCCTAAACGCTAAAGCCTTGCTGGTTCTTGGTAGGAGGAGGTGCCATGTCTAACTCCTTGAAGGGATATACATATGTGGTTTAGGATTTAGGGTATATATATATATATATGGGGGGGGGGGGGTGATATGAGGTGCCTGCGAGCCTTCTACTCCCGAACCCTAAAGCCCTAAAGCTCGAGACCCTTAAACAGAACAGCCTCAAACCCTAGCACGCCAAACCCATAAAGACCCTAAACCAACGAACAACTCTCCCTCCCTTCCCCCTCCCTATCCCTAAACTCCAAACGCCCTATACACCCTACACATCCTACACACCCGAGACACCCCATGAACCCTAAACACATACATACCCAACGCAACCTATGCACCCTGCACACCCTAAGCACCCAGGAACCGAATTATCATCAGGGTACATTTTTTGGGGTTGGCTACTGTGCAAGGGAACCTTGAAGCAACAAAACCAAGGGGAACTGGGCACCATTGGCCCTAAACCCTAAACCCTAAACCTTCAACCCTAAAAAACCCAAAAAAAACCCGAAAAAGCCCTGAAAAGCCCTGAAAACCCCCCAAAAAGCCCTAAAACCCCGACAAAACACTAACACACCCTAAAAACGCCCAAAAAAACCCTTTTAACAAACCCTAAAGAACCCTTAACCCGGGGTGGCCTCGCCCATCGAGCCTGCCTTTGGCCTGGGCCAACGGGGCGGGCGTCCCCAGAGCTTTGAGGGTTTAGGGTTTAGGGTTTAGGGTTTAGGGTTCAGGGTGAATTTGGGTGCTTGTTGTTTGGGGATTGAGGGCTTCATCCAGCGTTTAGGGTTTAGGGTTTAGGGTTTAGGGCGGACTCATGTTTTGCAGTTCAGGGCTCATGGTTCGGGGGGACTAGGGTGCGGTCTAGGGCTTCGGGATATGGGGTAGAGGCTTTCGGGGCTCAGGGATTTAGGGGGTCCTGGGCTGCAATAATTTTGACATCCGGACGCTGAGAACCCTACCGGTTCAGAGTTTACAGGGTGAACTCAGTACAAGGGGAGGAAGCGTACCTTAACTCTTGGGCATAGTTCGCATCAGTTTACGTGACATGCCTGCTTTTGGGCCCTAAATCCCTTAACTCTAAACCCTAACCCCCTAACCCTTAAACCCTAAACCCCAAACCCTACCTTGAGACCAACTCCCCCTTCAGACCGAGTGTGGAGGCGTGTGTTGGGGTCCTGGCCGCAAGGCGTCCTCCCGGGAGGCGGGCGTAAGGGATGTTGAGGGGATGTTTGGGCTTCTAGGACCCCTGGGGTTTGGGGTTTAGGATTCATGGGTTTAGGGTTTAGGGTTTAGGGTTTAGGGTTTAGGGTTTAGGGTTTAGGGTTTAGGGTTTAGGGTTTAGGGTTTAGGGTTTGGGGTTTAGGGCTCAGGGTTTAGGGTATTGAACCGGGCTTTCAGGGCTTGGGTTCCGAGACTGGGATTTAGGGTCATGCTGCTGCCGCCAGAAAGCCTGCATGAAAACTGGCTGGTTCTTCGTCGAACCCTAAACCCTAAACCCTAAACCCTAAACCCTAAACCCGAAACCAGGGGGATAAGCCTCAACATCCATCCACCCACTTCGGTGCAGGACTCCGAACCTCAGCATTGAACCCCAAATCGTAAAACCCCACAGTCATTCTACACAATTTGCAGGGATTGCGTGAACTCTAAACCTTAGCCCTCGACCTAAGCCGAAAACCTTAGGCCAGGATGCCCTGGAGTGCCCTTATCATGTCTTTTCGTTGGGGGGGCTGGGGGGGGTCCGAGGGTGGGGGGGGGGTGAGGCTTTCTAAGGAAAAGGGGCGGAAGCCCTCTTTTCTATGGTTTTAGGGTTGTTAGGGCCGGGTTGAGGCAATACGGGGTCCTGCGTGTCGCACAGCAGGGCAGCGGCAAAATCGTCGAAAGTCAAGTGGTCGCCGCCAGTGAAAGGCTCCTGGCCAGGCTTTGAGTTTTAGGATTCCGGGCTCAACCGTAAATACCCTACACCCTAAGCTCGCTCCAAACCCTAAACCCTAAACCCTAAACCCTAAACCCTAAACCCTAAACCCAAAACCCTAAACCTCCTGGTCTTACCGCGACAACCTTAGGAGATGCAGCAGTGCAAAGGAAGCTTCGCTCGGAGTGCCGCTCAGAATCTGAGCAAAAGCAGCCAGAACGGGAGCTCTGCTTCTGGAAACCTTCTAATCATCATAATAATAATCATAACAATAATAGTAATACTAATAATAATATATAATAATAATTATTATCATTATAATGATAATAATAATAATGATAATAATAGTCCTATGCAACTTATCAACCCTGTAAGCCCAAAACTCCAACTCGGGCACACAAAACGCAGCCAGTCGATCCTGCCCGCGCGGCGGATCCTCCAGCAAGCGCCACAGCCCCTGACTAGAGGGAAGAACCTAAAACCTAGACCCGAAACCCTAAACCGTAGACGGAGGGTTTGGGGTGTAGAGCCCTTCTGAGAATTCTGGGAACCATATCCTTCTAAGGGAACTCTACAACAGTACTTGGGTAGATTCATATGAGGACACTTGGGCTTCAGAAGGAGTTCGCGCTATGTCCCCTATGACAGACAAGCTGGTGGCAGGTTTTGGGCTTCGGGCTTTAGAGCTCAGGGGTTTAGGGTTTAGGGTTTAGGGTTTAGGGTTTAGGGTTTAGGGTCAGGGTCTAGGGTAGAAATCGACGTTCAGGCTCAACCTTTTGCATTTGAGGGTTGAGGGTTTGTAGGGTTTAGGGCTTAATGTAGCATGCCACGCTCAGTGGATCGAGTGTAAGGCAAGATCTGATTGGGAATCTTCCAAACTTACGGGAAACCCTTTCGGGGCTTTCTCTCATGCGTAGAGCGTTGGGTGCGTATATTAAGGGGTCCCTTATTTAACCCCAAGGCCTTGTGTAGGGGTGGGGACCGATAAAAATTAAGTTTTTGTGGCTTGTTTAAAGATTAGTTCGGGATTAAGGGCAAACAAACAATTTAAAACATATTGCTCAAACCTACCCCCGTTCACCCCATGTCGATAAGCCTAAGAGGTGTCATAAGCTTTGGTACCTTTTCCACTTCAGAGCCTGAAAAGCTTTCAGCCTTCACCCCGGAAGGTTCCAGGTTTAGGGTTTAGGGGATTAAGGGTTTAGGGGTTTAGGGTTTAGGGGTTTAGGGTTTAGGGTTTAAGGTTTAGGGGTTTAGGGTTTAGGGTTTAGGGTTTAGGGTTTAGGGTTTAGGGTTTTAGGGTTTTAGGGGTTTAGGGGTTTAGGGGTTTAGGGGTTTAGGGGTTTAGGGTTTAGGGTCTCGTGGGAAGAATCTCTTATGCTAGGGGCGGCATGTTGTATATAGAGGGAGGGGAATAGTTGAAGACCAGGCGGGTGCCTGCATGTAGTCTTTGCCGCCGATGCATTCCGAGCGCATGCTCATGAGCAGGTCCACGAAGGCCTCTTAGGGTTTAGGGTTTAGGGTTTAGGGTTTAGGGTTTCGGGCTTGGGGTTTAGGGTTTAGGGCTTAACCCGCACAACGAAGCAACCCAAGGTACGCCTTGAAAGCCTCTGAAATAAATCGTGACTCAGATCTTCCTTTTAAACTCCCATAAGGGGAAAAGACAAAAAAAAACAAGGGCGTACTTGCTTGCTAGAACTGTCGCGGACTTTTGGTACTGGCAATGAGGAATCTTTCTGGGCAATGGCCTAGCATCTCGTCACTTCCCAGAAAGCATCCCCAACTCCCCGAATCCAGAATCCGATGACGACTTCACCGCAGGGAGAGGGGGCCACTTGCAGTCGCTCAGTCTGCAATCCAAAGGCTGCATGCATGATTTTTAAAGGTTTTTTCGGGTGGTCTTATGGGCTTGTATAGCGTTTAGAGGGTGGGTAGTGTGGTTCATACAGACTTCTATGAAGTTTGATATGCCTGCTTCGCAAGTCGACGTGACCAGCCATGTTTCATTGAAACGCAAGAGCGGATTTTTGGAGTACGTACCTTCTCTACGAAAGTGCTGATCTTTGGTTTTCTCCCCCTAAACCCTAAACCCTAAACCCCAAACCCCTAAACCCCAAAACCCGACGCGTGCCATCCACAGCCGGCCTCTGCACCGATCCACCAGCGCCTCCGTAGCGCCACGGCTGCTGGAACTGCCGTTGGCAAAGTGGGGGCTGCTGGGGTGTTCTAGGGTGTGGACCCTAAACCCTAAACCCTAAACCCTAAACCCTAAACCCTAAACCCTAAACCCTAAACCCTAAACCCTAAACCCTAAACTAACGCTGAACTAACCCCAAACCCCAAACCCCAAACCCTATCTAAACCCCAAAGGGGGGGGGGGGGGGAGGGTTGGGGCCTTTGGGTCCAGGGTTTGGTAGTCCTCGGGTTGGTTTGGGGGGTTTATGGAGTTTTGGGTTTAGGGGTGCGTTTTGGGATGTAACACTTCTTCTTCTCCCTAAACCCTAAACCCTAAACCCTAAACCCTAAACCCTAAACTCTTCTCCGAAGATCCTAAGGCCCGTCGGACTTTCAGCTCCTCACACCTTGCCCTACAAAAGCCACAACACCCTACAGTATGACCTTCTAACCCCACACCCCACATACCCCCCGAAACCCGAAACCCTGACTAAACCCCTGAAACCCTAAAACCCTAAAGAGGGTTAGGTATCAAGTCTGAGGGTTTGGTGTTTAGGGCTTAGGCAAGACCCTGTACTGGGGGATCCATGTGGGAGACTAGGCCACGGTTCTTAAAACGTTGTTGTTTAATGTGCTTGGAAGTAGGGAAGTCTTTCGAAAAGCCCTCAAAACCTTGAACTTACGCGAACTGCCAAGCTCTGGAACAACCCTGAACCCTCAACCACCACGGGAAACCAAGGTAAAGAGCCCCTTTTGCACCGCCCCTCAACCCCAAGCCCTAGACCCTAAACCCAAAACCACCCAGAACCCTAAACCCCCGAACCCTGAACCCTAAAACCTGGCCTGCTGGCTTTGGGCTGGGTTGCGCTTGGGCGGCGTTTTGCCTGGAGGCAATGTCACAAGAACCCTTTGGGGCGGGTGGAGGAAGAGGGTTTAGGCTTAAGGTTGATAATTCTAAAGCCTAAACCCTCAGCCCCTAAACCGCAAATCCCTAAACCGTAAACCACTAAACCTCTACGGAGAGATCTGGCACTTCTATCTGGCTCTTTCCTAAGGCCCACAACCGGCCCCTTACTGTCTTTAAAGGATTCCTTGGGGGGGTTTATAGGGTACGCAAGGGGTGTATAAGGGGCCCATACTAAGGGGCCATGTAACTCCCCTACGATTTACCCCGACAAGGATGTGTTGCGTTTAAGGCGGTGCTCATCTGCCTTCCACCACCACCACCCACCTTGAACGCCCTCAACCCTAAACTATCAACCTTACACCCTAATCGTACTGAAAACCTAAACCTAAACTGGACAAGTCCGGTTTAGGGTTGAGGGTTTAGGGCTTAGAGCTTATGGCCTAGGGCATAGAAGTCAGGGTTTAGGGTTTAGGGTTCTGGGCCAGATTCAGGTTGCTCGCGGACATGTATCTCAAGAACAGATGTTTCGCTTGTTCTGAACCAGATTGTGGGCAGTGAATTGTCCTTGGCTTTGTTTGATTCTGGAAAGCAGCCCGTGAAGCAGAAAGCGAAACATGTTCAACACACTTCTAATGACAACAATTGGTTAGGTGTTTCGGGGCACGAATGGGCAATCAAACATGTGGACAGTGCGGCGATTTCTTCATTTCTCGGCACGCGCTCGCGCGAGATGTGGAATGCAACGCAGGTTCAAATTCTGAAGGCCACGGCGGAAGCTACTCAAAAACCAAGCCGGAAAAGAAATGATTTCCGGGTCTCCTCGAGCTGGCTGTAGGGTTTTACGGTTTTAGGGTTTAGGGTTTTAGGGGTTTAGGGCTTTAGGGTTTTTGGGCTTTTAGGTTTTAGGGTTTAGGACTTCGGGTTGTTGGGTTGCAGGGGTTAAGGGTCTACCTAAAACTTGCCCTGACCTCCGAAAATTTGCCTGAGGCCCTGAACTTAAGAAAGACTGTCAACCCTAAATCGTAAATTATCTTAGGGGATAGGATTAGGGGGACCCTTCAGGATATAGACCCTCTGAATAAGGTCCCTGTTTAAGAGAGCCAGAAGAGGGTTTAGAAGGGGTTCCCTTTTAAGGGCCCCCCTTATCCTACCTAGGATATCTTAAAGCCCTAAACTCTTCAAAGCTTCGCGACCCCAAAACAGTACAACGCTGAAGCTGAAACCCAAACCCACAAACCCCAAGACCAAAGACCCTAAACCCTAAACCCTAAACCCTAAACCCTAAACCCCGAACCTAAATCATTAAATCGGACCAATCCGAACCCAGCTGAGCCTCTCGGGCCCACTCTCCTGGTCTTGGAGCTCTTCGCTCGCCGCGGGACGGAGACGAATGTAGCCTGGTTAGGGTTTAGGGTTTAAGGTTTAGGGTTTGGGGTTTGGGGTTTACCATGATGAGCTGTTCTACCCCAAACCCTTCAAAAGGGTTGATTGTTGGGTTTAACAGGTTGAAAAGGCGTAAAAACCCATCCTGGTAGGTTTGAAGATTTAAGGGTCTTTGAAGCTTAGGATCTTTACCGCTTAGGGCTTTGGCTTTGGCTTGGCAATGTGTGTTAAGTGTGTTAAGATCAGAGCTGAAGGATGTTCCCAGAAGCTACTGGTTTACGGTTTAGGGTTGAGGGACAGAGAGGCTCAGTGGAGGATTATACTTTTCAGATCCCGCCAGCGAATGTGTTTTCTGGTGACTCGACGGCGAGTTGGTCTTCTGGGTTGAGTGGTAGGGTCGTGTCTAAACCCTGAGCCCCGAGCACCAAACCCTAAACCCTCAACCCCCCCAAACCCCTAGCCCCTAAACCCTAAACCCTAAACCCTAAACCCTAAACCCTAAACCCTAAACCCTAAACCCTAAACCCTAAACCCTAAACCCTAAACCCTAAACCCTAACCCTAAACCCTAAACCCTAAACCCTATCTCCGGCCTTTGGTTCCGCCTGTGGGCGGGTCGTTGCGCTCCAGGGTCAGGCTCCGGTTCTGCTCGCGGGCCTTGTTCTTGATGGTTTGGGGGGGGATTCGGGTTTAGGGTTTAGGGTTTAGGGTTTAGGGTTTAGGGTTTAGGGTTTCGGGATTCGGGTTTCGGGTTTGGGATTTAGGGTTAAGGTTTAGGGCCGGCTTAGGGTTTAGGGTTTAGCTCCTGAGCCCTGAACCCTAATCCCCAATCCCAACAGCCAAGACCCCTATAAGTTTTGGGAGTTAGGGTTCCAGTCCAACTTTCTAGCCTTCTAGCCCATGCCATCAACGCCAGCGCCATCCCAGAAGCCCGGGGGCTGGGCGGGGGGGGGGGGGGGCAGGGGGGTTTAGGGTTTAGGGTTTAGGGCTTAGGGGTTAGGGTTTAGGGTTTAGGGATTGGTGGTTTAGGGTTTGGGGTATATGGTCTTCTTGCAGATTGCAGTCCTACACCGTCACACATGCACTCCAGAAGGATCTCCGCAACATCAGCCACAAGGAGCTACAACTCGTCCTCTGCACACCCGGCCAGCCATGCGAGGCCTAAACCCTAAACCCTAAACCCTAAACCCTGACCCCCTGATTTAGGAAGGCCGATAGGCTGTAATTGGGGGAACTGAAGGTCGACCTCCCTAGCCATAAACCCCTGTGCAAAGGTTTCTTGCGGTTCAAAGACCATACTCTCTATACCGAACTTGGCACCCTTGCAAAAAATATAACTTTAGCGGTTCCTTAGGGATTTTACTAGCCAAAAAAGAAAATTTTGTTTCCAAGTGCCCTAAACCCTCACATAGGCGAGTTGAAAGGTTTTTTGTTTTGGGCTTAGGTTACTTCCTCGACTACTCAGAACCCAGCCTTCTGCTCCAGCTCGAAAAAGTCGAACAAGCATGTCGGTGGATTGTCGGCCTTGCGCATCTGAGCGCGGCCCCTCAACCTTAAATCCCTCACCCTAAACTCCCTAAACTCCCTATACCCCCAAAAACTCCCTAAGCCCTCTCGGCCCCCTAAACACCCTAATCCCTAAACCCCTCAACCCTACACACCCCAAGACCCTATAGTACTATTTGCTTAAGGTCACCACGAAAATAACACACATTCTTCCTTGTAAGGGCAATAGTATTGGATGTTCCCCTTATGCGAACAGTCCTTAATAGGGACGATATTAGAGGGTACTAAAAATCACTATTCAGGACTGTTAGTTAGTATAATAAAGGGAATAGTCCAAGGTGTAGGCAAGCAGGGGCACAGCTTGTCCTCCCAGGAAACACACTGCCCAAAAGCTGACTTGAGACCGATGCCGGGTCTTCAAAAGGATCCCATGGCTCAGATTCACTTGGAGGCATGTAGGGGCTTTCGAGGGTGAAGGGGTGCAGGGTGTAGAAAAGCGTAAGGGTTTAGGGTTTAGGGGTCCGGGGTTGAGGGTCTAGGGATGCATTTGCTGAAAAACAGACCAGGAGATTCTGGCATGCAGTTGAGGGTTTTCGGGGTTTAGAGCTTTATGATGTGTAGTGGTTTGGGTTGTGGGGCTCATGTCAGCATCTCTGCGATACTGCAGCGGGCTGGCTTGGCGTGGCGCGGCATCATGTATGCAAACATGAGAGGATTGGAAAGGGCCCTAAACCCTGCCCCCAAAACCTTACAGGTATAAGGAGGGACCCCTAGAAGCGACCCTTAATCTTATTCCTCTGTATAACCCCCATATATACCGTAAATAGTCCCTACATCCCTCAGTAGCCCCTAAATAACCCCCAAATAGCCCCTAAGGTCCCTTAGAAGGTGATCTTTGGGCGGAAGTGGTTGGATGCGAAGGGAGATGGAGTGCACGGGCGCCAACATTGATTTGTGTCGATCTGGTTCGGGGTCATACATACCTTTGGGAGGACCATCCCTTCCCCCTAAACCTACATAACCCCTAAATCCTAAACCCTAAACCTGAACCCTTTAAGAAAACAATACACGATTCAATCTCACTCCTGGGGGTGTCAGGCCAAGGCTTTCCCAAGCTGATCCGCCCTGATACTTCGAAAGCGCTTTCGGCCCAAAGGGTGTTTTTTGGAGATGATAGGGTTCAGGATTTAGGGTTTAGGGTTCAGGGTTCAGGGTTTAGGGAAGAGACGACTCCCCCGAAAGGTCACCTCAGCGACTTCTGACCGACAACTGTTTTCGGGGTGTTCGCCCTCCGTCGCGGACTCCATCGTCGTATCAACAAATGAAAGGCCACTAGGGTCAATGTGCCCAGTAGGTTGGGCCCTCCCTTCAACGCCCGGAAAGCCGTAAACCGGCGACTATCAACTCCTTTTTGGGGTTTGGCTACTTCATGGGAACCCTGATCCCAAAAAAGGGAAAAAGGGTACCACTGGGCTACCAAGCTAGGTAGGGATCTTGAGTTTGGGGCTGGCCATTGACCCCCGGAGGCCATCAGGCCCGACAGGGCAGTGCAAAACTACCTCGATGCTGCTGCGAACTGACTCCAGGTTCGTTTGGGGATTCGTCTGTGGGGCTTGCACCCGAACCCTAAAGCCCTAAGCCCTAAGCCCTAAGCCCTAAGCCCTAAGCCCTAAACCCTAAACCCTAAACTGCCGAGGGTTCAGGGTTCAGGGTCTAGGGTTTAGCGTTTCGGGTTCTCCCCCATTCCCCCACTACGGAATGCTGGAGGGCACGGAGGTTCAACCTTAGGGGAGGGATCATGAGACGGCGGATCCTCACTTTCCACAATCCGTTTAGAACTTAAGTTGGGGAGCTCAGGGTCCAGGGTTTACGATGGTTTAGGGTTTCGGGTTAGGGTAAGGGATTAGTTAAGGGTTAAGGGTTTAGGGCTTTAGGGTTTAGGGTATCTAGGATCCGGTGAAGTTGAGGTGGTTGTTGGGGTGTGGGAATCGGGAATCTCGAAGTTGCGGGGTTCAATCGCGCAGCAGCCTAGCTCACGAAGCCCACATCCTACCCGCCTTGCGCAAGATCTAGCATGCAACATCCTCTCACTTGTGGGGTGGCAGGGTCGTGCCTGTCAGGAGGGATAGGGCCTGGGGTTTAGGGTTTAGGGTTAGGGTTTAAGGTTTTAGGGTTTTGGATTTAGGGTTTAGGACTGTCGTGCCACGCTTGTCGCTTGCCACCCAGTAAAACCCTCAAGGGTCTCTAGGGTTTAGGGCTGAGAGGGCGCTCCTGGTCCATCAAAACCAGCCGACCCTAGACCCTAAACCCTAAACCCTAAACCTTAAACCCTAAACAACCCCAAAAAAGCGGCTGAAGAGAACTTTCCAGTTGAAGGGAGTGATCTCACCAATGTGGGCATGAACTTGATGGAGTCGTTGTTGGGCCCTTTGGTTGGTTGTTGTTTTCCTTGATTCCTTGAACTTCATACCCCAAATCCAAAACCTAAGCCCAATGCTGTGGGGCCCTGAAGGCCTCGACATTCTTCTGTCGTGATCAAAACTACTGGTTTGTTGTCAGCATTTGTTGTACCCGCACACAACTGACTGAGTGCCACACACCTTTACACATGACCCCACCTCCCCTAAACCCTAACCCCAACCCTTATTCTCTCACCACAATCAAGCTGGTGAACCGGGTACCATATTGGGTGCATGTACTGTATCCCCAAGGGTGCTCCGGGTTTCAGGTCCAGGTAGACCTGAACAAGGCACCCTATACTAAAACCCAAACCCTAAACCCTAAAACCATAAACCCTAGAGCCCTAAACCCCGAGACCCGAAACCCGAAACCCTAAACCCTAAACCTTAAACCCTAAACCCTGAACCCTAAACCCAGAAGTCACAAGGCTACTGCTCCAGCCTGTCGCGGGGTCGAACAGCCAAGGCTGTCTCTCGCCCTGGCCGGTTCGAGAGTTGCAAAGGGACGACTAGGCTGCCCAGTAACCTAGGCTTAGAAAGGGTGCCTTTTTTTGCTTAAAGGGGTTTGTAAGGGAACCTAAAACCCCCAAAAAGGGAATAAGGGTACTACTGGGCATCCTAGACGAAAGCCGCGTGGCGCTTCGACAGTGCTGAAACCCAAAACAGGTCGGGAGGTTCGGGGCTTAGGGTTTAGGGTGTAGGGTTTAGGGTTTCGGGTTTAGGGAGGTTCGGGGTTTGGGGAATACGGCTTGCAAGGCTTGCCGAAGTCCACTCAGATCCCAAAAACTTGTGGGTGGGAAGGTTTGGGGCTAGAAGCCTATACTGGGGTAGGTTTGGGGGCCCTATAAACATTGAATTTTTGATGGCGTAGGATTGCATAGGGATTAGCAGGCGGCAATAAACAATCAAACCTACCCCTGTATGCCGTAAACCCAAGAATACCTTGTTGTCCAGTACCTAGGAGAACTAAAGGTTAACCTTTGGGAATATAAGGGTATTATATTACCCCAAGAAGGTTAAAGGCTACCTACTCTATAACTAAGAATAGCCCTAAGACCCCCCCCCCAGAAGGCAAGGTGCGCCTCATCGTCCAGCACTTCGATTCCATCCACAGCAGCCTTTGCCCTTGGGATGACCTGCACGACTGAGGCTTTCGGGCTTGGGGCCGAAGATTCAGAGCTTGGGGTTTTGAATTGGGGTTTGCAGGAAGTTTTGGGTTTGGCTATGGGTTGTTTGCAGGGTGCAGGGTGTGGGGCTTCTAGGGCTCAACAGGACACAAGGAGTCGATCTTAATCATGTTTGCAGATCTTCTTGATTTAAAGGTTTAGGGTTTAGGGTTCAGGGTTCAGGGTTCAAGGTTGAGGGTTTAGGGCTTTGCGGTCCAGAATTGCACATCAGGTGCTGGACTGGATGGAGCCACTGCACGAGGATCCATTGGCATGGAGACACCCCCCTCTCTGCCCTTATTAGGGGCGTTTAGGCTAAAGGGTTTAGGGTTGGTTTGGGTTTGGAAAAGATAATTCAACAATCCACCACTACATCCCAAAGCCCTGCAAAGGCTAAGTCCCACAAGCGTTTCACAGCTAAGACTTACCATTCGGGCGTTTACCTCTCAGGTTTTCGAAGCTCAGCGCATCACCTGGTCGAACTTGGCAAGCTCGGGGGCCACAACCACCTCCATTGCAGGGTTGCTGAAAAAAAGGCCTAAACCCTAATTAAAGCCTACACCCTAAACCCTTTAACCCCCTGAAATCAATAGCTCCAGGGCCTGTTCAGGCTTAGGTTTGCCTGTCCCCCTGTTGGCCCTGTTTCATGGTGACGAGCGGGCCCTTGTCTGTGTTTCGTAGGCATTGTGGCTTCTAACGCCAACGGCTTGTCTCTGTTCATAAAGGGAAACACTGGGGGTCTGACTGTGACTGTAACTCCAAAAAGTCGAACGGTCGAATGACATTCTTTGGGATGTTCCTCCTCATACTGACAGTCCTTAATACGGATTCTCGTAGAGGGGGGGTACCATAATCCCTATTAAGGACTGTTAGCATAAGGGGGAACATCCCAAGGCATTCCGTTCAATGTCTTCTTGCTAGATCGAATATTGCATTGACAGGCACGGGCAAAACCTCAACCGAAACGCTGCAACCCTGATCCGCCCCACGGCTGTCACCTGAAACCGCGGTGTGCCTTACCTGTCAATCCCTGCTGAGTTGCAGAGGGTGGGGTGGGCGATTTTATAAAAGAGCCTAGAACTAAAAAAGGGCAAACGGGTACCACAGGGCTACCAAGAAACCCAAAGCCGCAGACCCCATGCAGCCCTGAAAACCCTTACTTCCCAGAACCGCCAGACTCCCCATAAGCCTGTAAACCCCGACTCGCATGCGTCTTCTAGCCTTACATCCTGCAAGCCCTGAAGCCCCTGAAAGAAAAAAACTCGGCCCTAAACCCAACAAAGCCGAGCCCCAAAAGCCTAAAAGCCCTCAACTCCCATAAGCCCTATAAAGCCCTAAACCCTAAACCCTAAACCCTAAACCCCTGCAGCCCTAAAGCCCTAAACCCCATACTCTCCAAGCCGCCATGTCTGTCTTGTCATAGTACGAACCTGGGAGCCGACATTTGTGGGACATGTATCATAGGGGCCTGAATAATTAGAATAGTTTGTTTGTTTTTTTATTTTTTTTATTTTTTAAGGGGGGGGGGGGTGAGTATAGTATGATTATAAAGGCACCATAAGGGAACACCATTAGTAACTATTCCGACCCCTGTAGTAGGGGTATGCTTTCAGGTCAGGAGTTTAGGGTTGCTAAGGGTTTTGGGTCTGAGAATTTTGGGCTTATAAGGTTTGAGAAGTCAGTCTTGTTGGGCGTTGCGTCTATAGTTTTGAATGGAACGACAACGAGTACGGTAAGATTTTCTCTCTCACATCTTTTATATCACCCTTCCCTAAACCTGAACCCTAAACCCTAAACCCCTTTATACCCTTGCCTGTCACTAGGGAACCTCCACACCCGTAAAACCCCAACCCACAAACCTGGACTTTCCGTCTTGCCGGCTTGTTGGCTGTCGTGTGTCATCTTTGGGAGGCTTCCCATCCTTGGGGACCTTCATTTTGCTATAGGAGGGCATGTTCTAAACCCTAAACCCTAAACCCTAAACCTTAAACCCTAAACCCTAAATCAAGAGCAGACTACACACCGGTCTGTCCCGGATGGAGCCCAAAACCTTCAGACCCCGAAACGCCCTCCGCAAGCAGCAACCCTGAGCCCTAAACTTGCCCTAGAGGGTTTAGGGTTTAGGGTTTAGGGTTTAGGGTTTAGGGTTTAGGGTTTAGGGATTAGGATACTCTTAACATCTCCCTGGGTCCCGCGCCATCCGGCTTCAGTCCGAGCGGTTGGATCACAACAGACGGCACTTCAGTGACCTCCAAACAAAACCAAAGCCCCCAGACTTTTGAACCGGAGCACCCTAAACCCTAAACCCTAAACCCTAAACCCTAAACCCTAAGCCCTAAGCCCTAAGCCCTAAGCCCTAAGCCCTAAGCCCTAAGCCCTAAGCCCTAAGCCCTAAGCCCTAAGCCCTAAGCCCTAGGCTTCAGGGCAAGGTCGCGGGATGCTGGTATTCAAGTTACAAACCCACTGCCCCCCCCCCCCCCCCCCAGGGTTTAGTGTTTAGGGTCTAACTTGGGTTAAATTAGGGTATAGGGTTGGCAGACTACAAGGATTTGCTCGGGCTTCTACACCGTGGCTCCTTTTGGGGTCCCTGAAGAATATGTCGACTGCGTGGCCTTCGTTGTGATCCTTTTGCTACCCCACCCAACCATCCCCCCTCCCCCCCCCCAATTTCCCAAAAGTACGGGCGTAACGGGGTCGCCATCGGAAGGAACCCTAAACCCTAAACCCTAAACGCTAAACCCTAAACCCTAAACCCTGAACCCTGAACCCTAAACCCTAAAGCCTACTCACACTCCAAAGGTGTGGACCCTTGACCTGCTTGCGTAGAACTCTGATTCCGAAAGCTGCCGTGCAATGTTACAAGACCCTAATTACTCTGACACGATTACAAGCCTCCTCATAGTGATGAAGGCTTGAGGTTCCAAGTTCCCCACCGACTCCTGAATAGTGTGGAAAGTTCGGCATCACTCGGACAAGGTAACCTAAATCCAAAACCCTAATCCTGAAAACCAATGACGATTGCTTGCGGTCATAGAGCTGCCACGTGCTGTACCCTGCAAGCCCAACATTCGACAAGGAAACACGAAACCGAAAAAGCACCGGAACCTAAACCCTACACTCCTGAACCCTAAGCCCTACAAACCCTTCCAACTATAAACCCTCAACCCTATAAGTCATCTAAACCCCCCAAAGCTCTCAAAACCCTGCAACCCTTTTAAACGCTCAAAACGCATCCTGTGCCCCTAAACCCTAAACCCCAAACCCCAAACCCTAAACCCTATAAGCCCCTCCCACTGGCCACCCAGCACCTCAGCGTCGTAGGCCGCCAGGGGCGCGTCGTCGATGTCGCAGGTGTAGAAGGTGCACTTCGGGTACGACTTTGCCATGGCCTCGTGGAGGTTTAGGGTTTAGGGTTCAGGGTTCAGGGTTCAGGGTTCAGGGTTCAGGGTTCAGGGTTTAGGGTTTAGGGTTTAGGGTTTAGGGTTTAGGGTTTAGGTTTAGGTTTGGGGTTTGGGGTTTGGGGTTTGGGGTTGCTTCCTAACCAGTTATAACTGTACGTATAACTGTACTCAGAACCCTATTAGGACACTCAAGAGAAGGTGCACTTCGGGTACGACTTTGCCATGGCCTTGCGAACTTGGGGGGGTTACGCGGCTTCGGGTGGGTCCGATGGCTTCTGGGCTTGAAGGTTTAGGGTTTAGGGTTTAGGGTTTAGGGTTCAGGGTCTAGGGTCTAGGGTCTAGGGTTTAGTGGGCTTCTCTGGGCTTGGAGCTCAGGGTTTTAGGGGGAGTTGAGGACTTTGCGCCGAAGAAATGGCGGCTCAAAGACCCTCAGCCCTCCACCCCAACCCCCGCAAAAATCTCCGAGCCCGCGGCTTCAAACTGCTCGTTTTGGGGGGTTCATTTAACGTTTAAAAAAAACCTAAATGGGTCTTTTAACGTGAAAAAAACTCCGAGCCCGCGGCTTCAAACTGCTCCTGATACATCTTGGAGGCCATGCTCCAGTGGCCCGTGAAGAAACCGACCTTGTTGGGCGTTGACAGGTCTAAGTGGCATAGGCTGTCGGGCGGGCTCGTAAACCCTAGAACCCCTGAAAAAGACCCTTTGATTGTGGGGATTATAACGGGGTGGCTGCAAATTTCGGCTAGAGGTCGGTGGTGTTTAGGACTTGGGGCATCAGGCATTGAACGTGATCCCCAATTCCTAAATGCTCCCAGGCTAAACCCTAAACCTAAACCCCAACCCTAAACCCTAAACCCTAAACCCTAAACCCCCTAGAGCCAGTTCACCAACCCTGCTAGCCATGCCGAAGCTCGGCAACCCGAACCCCGTACCGGCACCTGTCAGCCCTGAAGACTTCGGAAAACTTGAAAGCCAGAACCCCGAAACCCTAAACCCTAGCCCTAAACCCTAAACTCTAGCTGAAACCTAAGCTTGCCCCATAAAGCTCACCTCCGGACATCCTAAACCCAAAACCCTCAAAACCTGAAGCCTTGCACCTCCAACCCGTAAACCCTGAAACCCTAAGACCCCAACCTCTCAACCCTGAAACGCCCCAAGCCGCGAAAGCCCTGAAGCCCAAAGCCCCTGAAGCCCAAAACCACAAGATCCCCTGCAGGCCATGAGGGTTGTGCCATCATTGAGGTCTTCGAGGTCTTGATCGCCTCATACTGGGCGAAGTCCTCGTGTTTGGGTTGGGTTTACCGCTAAGGTTTAGGGCTTGGGGCCTGGGGTTCAGGGTTTGGGCCTTCAAGCCTTCAAGGAGCACTCAGCAAAACGGAGTGATCTAAGGATCTATGACACGAGCTGCATTGTTCCAAGGATGTGTGGCCTGTGGCCCACAACCCGGGGCTCAACATAGTTCATTTAAATTCACTCGTGAGCCCACGAAACTGTGTAAATTGAATGGCCCGCGACCAAAAGAACATAGAAGCACGTTATGTTGCGGGCTCGTTCGCTGTGTCCTTATTTAAGGTGTTCATGGCAAAAATATCCTACTGTAGCAGTCGCTAGAAATACTACAATGAATGACTAAAATCCCCTGAAATTCATCATTAATAGATTCAAAAAGTGTACTTACCTGTAGTTTTCTTTTGTGCTCACGCGTTCATGTCCTTCACTTGTGCATAATTCTTCCAGCGCTTCTACCACGGCTAGATGCGGTTGGCTTAGTATTAGTTTTAGTGAGCTTTGAGAGCATGAATTCGATGAGCGAAAGAAAGAGGGAAGAAGAACGCTCACTTATCCGCCGAGGCCTTGGGCCGTAGGGTACCGGCTTCCCCCCCTCTACCCCTCCCCAATCCACGTGCGCATTTGGTACTTTGCAATGCTTGGAACAAGGCCACAGGCATCTGGGAGAAGACTGTGCATCAGGACCCAGGCGTGCAGGGGACGGACAACCCTAAACCCTAAACCCTAAACCCTAATGATTTCACCCCACCCCCCCCCCCCCCCCGCACCCTTTTGCCCTCGCCAGAGCTAGGCCTGCTTAGCCCTAGCTGAAGCGGGTCGCGTAGGGTTTAGGATTAGTTGACTAACGACTCTCTTCCTTTTGCTTGTCCTGTGTTCTTCATTCGTCTCTCTTTGCTGTCCGTATCTCTTTGGCGAACTGAACACATTCATCACAGATACGAACACCCAAACACCCTTCAATTTACTTGGGTTTTCGGACACAAAGTAGTATCTTCTTCTCCCCAATGACCACTTAATATTTAATGCGTTTATTGGGGTCTTTGGCAGTAATATTCTATTTATTCAAAACGGCCAAATAGTAAAAAAGGGGCGAACCGATGAGCCCTACAAATATAGACTTGTAACTTACCATCGACGAAAGAGGGCCCCACAAATACTATTATTAGCCGGGAAATTCGCTGATTAGACTTCCCAAAAAATCGGGCTGGAAAATCAAAGTTATTCCATCCTGGCTGTTGCCTTCGCGACTCAACAGACCGAATGTTTAGCCAGGCTGAATCTTGATTCTGGACGGTTATTCGGGTGGGTTTAGGGTTCAGGGGTTTTGAGGTTTTGAGGTGTAGGGTTCTACCATCTGGTCTACTATCGACGAGCTTGAAGGTCCTTGATCGCCGGCAGGCTCAACAAGCGACGGCTGAGGCGCATTGCCTGAGGCCGGCCCCATAGAAGCTCGCATTTCAGTGAGCTTGCCACCCTAAACTAGGGTTTAGGATTCTGGTTTACCCTAAACCCTAAACAGTATAGGGTTTAAGTTTATCGTCTAGGAGACCATCTCATGCGTTGGTAAGGGTTTGCATGTGCAGGGCTACCTCTCATCTTAGAGTGGTTGTGCGCAAGATCAAGGCCTCAATTGAGGGGCTTGGATTTCAGCGTTCGGGTCCTTGGGGGGGCAGTTGGATGACACCTGTTTGTGTTCTAGCAAGGTTACGCTGGTCACGTCGTGAGTGAGGATGGCTTGTTGCTCTCTTTTTGAACCAAGCATTAAATCTCAGGTGGGGTTGCACAATCCTAAGCCTGAAGCCTAAACCCAAAGCTCCGGACTGCTAAGCCCTCTTCGAGTGAAGTATTCGGCAGGGGAGGCTGGGATGCTTTGATTCGAGGGGATTTCTGCTCAGGTCTGAACCAGGCTTGACAATGCAATATAGGGCCGTAGTGAATTTCAACATTTCAATCGGCGGATGTAGGTAGTTTAGTAGGCTTCGGGGATTATATATAATATCATTGTATAGGGAACATAACCGGCAACCGGGGCCGTGCTGAGGCCAAATGGGGTAATCCCGTTATCTCCAAAATGGGCTCGGGCCAGGGGTCCAAATGACAAGTAAACCCTAAACCCTAAACCCTAAACCCTAAACCCTGAACCCTAAACCCTAAACCCTAAACCCTAAACCCTGAACCCTGAACCCTAAACCCTAAACCCTAAACCCTGAACCCTAACTCGAAGGCCTAAACTTTGCAGCCCGAGTGGCCATGACGTCTGGGCCGCGGCGTGCGGGACTTTCTTTGGCTCGCTCGGGGGGATCACGCTGCGGCGGTGTTCTCTGAGGTGAATTAGGGTTTTTTTTGGGTTTAGGCCTTAATTGTTAGAATGAGGCGTTGCGGGTAATTATAGTATAAGGGCCTTAGGGCTCGGGGTATTGATATGTAGAGGTCAGAGTTCAGGGTGATGGTCAGTTAAGTCTGTGGGGTTCAGGTTCAGAGCATTGAGCTCGGGGGGGCTATCGAATATCTCAAGCAGCACGCAAATCAGCCAACCCTAAACCCTACACCCCCGACAATTGGCGGGTGGAAGACCTTGGGCCCTTGGAGTACCAGAAGCAACAAGCCCCGTAATTAACCCAGCCCCCACTACTTGAAGGCTCAGGTGATAATGTAGGATATGTAACTTACTTGTAACCCTACGTATCACTACCCACGAATCTTCAAGTACAGTTTAGGAGCTGCTTGTAGTTTTAGTAGGGAATGAAGGAATGAGGTACCTTATCTCCCCCTTTACACCTTTCAAGGGAAGGAACCAGTAGGTTGAAGGTTCATGGGCAGTCATCATGGGCAGTCAGTAGTGGAGTTAGGGTTTAGGGAATAGGGTTTAGAGTTTAGGGTCTATAGGGGTACCGCAATTAATTCAGGCTGTAACTTTGGTTGGTTTCCTTGCTTCTTACCCTTCAATTTGTTCCTAAACCCTAGACCCTAAACCCGAAACCCATGAACCCTTCAAGTAGTTTGCTCCTCCTGCATTGAGCAGCCAGGTTCGCAAAAGGGCGTAGGGAATGCCCCAGCTGCTGAGGAGTTGAGGCTCCGAGGCAGAGGCTTGGGTTGCTTAGGGTTTAGGGTTTAGGGTTTAGGGTTTAGGGTTGAGGTTTAGGGTTTAGGGTTTAGGGTTTAGGGTTTAGGGTTTAGGCTTTAGGCTTTAGGCTTTAGGGTTTAGGGTTCAGACTCTAGGGACCCTGAACCTTTCAACCCCTAAACCCGACATGAAATGAAACTCCCTATAAACCCCACACTTCACCTCAAACCCCTGCTGAACACTCACGAGAATCTTAAAGCCACTGGGCATGTGGGGCAGTCTAAAAACCTTTCAGGGTTGTATGTGGCCGAAACTGGTTGAAACTCATGTGCCGAAGCCCTCTCGCCCGAAAATCCGAAACCCCAAACTCCTAAAAACTTCACAGTCTCCCCTAAACCCTACAGTACGCCCTAAACCATAGGAGCCACCAGGCCCTTTTCGCCAGCGCTCTTTCAGTTCCCAGTGGATCTCACCGGTGGCGTGGCGGGGCCGAGGAGAAGGCAGCGGGGCTGGGAGGAAGCCTCAGCAACTTGCTGAGAGAGGTGGTGGTTTAGGGTTTAGGATTTAGGGTTTAGGGTTTAGGGTTTAGGGTTTAGGGCTTCGAGCTTAGGGCTTAGGGCTTAGGGTTTAGTGGTCCTGATCAAGAAGAATCCTACTTTTTAGGGGTCTATTTTTGGGGTCCCCTATTTTCGTAAACCTCCATGGAAGGTTGAGGGTGGCCCGGGTCCGCGTGAGCTCCCTATGCCCTAAACCCCAAAACCCTAAACGACCCGAGATATATTGTATACACCTACACGTTATATTTCTAAATTAGATACTATAACTAAACTTGTAAATAGTTTAGATTGCATCTGGTACAGTTTGTGTTACTTATTTATCGTGTGTATTGTGTGTAGTAGACGTTGCATACGAGTTTCTTACTATATATCATACATTGAGTTATCTTATGCTGTACCTTAATGTAGTATATAATATACTACATATCACATTCTATGATATTCCTTTTTGCTAAAGATGAAACCCCACAAGGGCTGTGCACAGTCAATCAAGCCGCGATCCTTGTGCGCACTGCACAGTAGGGTTTAGGGCTCTGGGTTTACGATGTTTAGGGTCTGGCGTGACCCAGGAGTGATGTGAACTTTGAGTCCGGATCGGCAGCTCATGGACAAGAGCACGGCTGTGGGTTTTAGTCTAAGGTTCAGGGCTTTTTTCGCGTTTAGGGGTTTGGCGTGTTGTTCAAGGTTTGGGTGCCAGGCTGGGGGGTTCATGGGTTTCGGCTTGCGAGCACGGATCGGTGGCAGGAGAGGCGGTAGAGTGTTTTGGGTTTGTTCATGAGTGTTAAAGCCCCAAAACCTGAAGGCCCCCAACAGATGTATCGCATTTGTTTGGATACGCCTTTGGTGGTTTTGGTTGAGGGTCACGTATCACCCCATATAGTTCGAAAATTAAACTACAAGAGCCCCATTCAAATCAATGGAACCTATATTTGGGGGTCTACGCAAATATTGGACCCCCAATATAGACCCAAAAATCGTAGGATCCCCTTCTAATCAGGACCCCAGAAACCCTAAACCCGAAACCCTAAACCTAAACCGGTATCCCCTTAATTTTCGTTCACCCCTATATGTTGCATCAGGTGCAACCGGGTCACCCAGGCATCGCACCACTCGCTGCAGGAGATCGGCCTGCGGCAGCCAAACTTTGACGCTTCGGTTTTCGGACCACCTCGGGCCCTAGGAAAGTGCCTAAGCCCCAAACCCTAAACCCTAAACCCTAAACCCTAAACCCCTAAACCCTAAACCCCGAACCTTTGATCTGGGGTGTGGGCCGGAGTTGACATCCTAGCTTAGAAATGGAGAAGTTAGGAGGCATCTGTTGGTGTCGTGGCGCCAAGTGGTCAGATCGAGCTTGAACTGCAAATCCCGATCCCCAAACACAAAACCCTAAAAACCCCAAACCCTAAACCCCTAAACCCCAAATATCCTAAGTCCTAAGCCCAAAACCCTAAACCCCAAGGTGCAGCGGCCCAGTCTCGAGCTTTGTAGGGCTTGGGGTTTAGGTGTTTCTTCGCAATAGCGCAAAAGAACGTGAGAACTTGTTCACTGCATGAGGGCCTTCTTGCAGCACAAAGGTTGGCCATCTTGGCTTGCGATGCCGAGTACAGGGTTCACCCGGAGCCACCCCTTCACCTGTAAAACTCACGAGAACCCTAAACCCTAAACCCTAAACCTTAAACCCCAAACCCTAAACCCCAAACCCTAAACCCCAAACCCTAAACCCCGAAACCCTAAACCCTAAACCCTAAACCCTAAACCCTAAACCCTAAACCCTAAACCCTAAACCCTAAACCCTAAACCCCCCCCCCCCCCCCACGACGACGCGGAAGCCTCAGCTTCGGCGAGCGCCCGGTGCTCGGCCTCCGACTCTGGTAGCAGGCGCTTGAGCTGCAAAGTTGGATTTAGGGGTTTAGGGCTCAGGGCTTGGGGTTTGGGGCTTGAGGTTTAGGGTTTTGGGTTTGGGGTTTAGGGCTTGTGGGGTTTAGGGTTTAGGGTTTGGAAATTGGCTTTAGGGTTAAGGGTTTAGGGTTTGGGGTTCAGGGCTTGGGGGTTTGGGCTTGGGGTTTAGGGTTTCAGGGTTTGGCGTTTGAGGGTTGCGGGAGACATTTCTATGGGCCACATACAGGGCTACACTTAGCCTAAACCCAGAACCCTAAACCCTAAACCCTAACTCCTAAACCCTAAACCCTATAGCACTCACAAAATCCAAAATCAGCCCCTGGAACGAAAGACTGCGAACATACAGGGGGCATTTCAACCCTAAACCTTGCAAATAAGCGCACGTAAAAAAGCGCAATAATGGTATCAAGAGCAATGATCTTGGACCTGAAGGCGACCCTAGTTTTAGAACTCCACTAAACCCTAAACCCTAAACCCTAAACCCCAAACCCCAAACCCTAAACCCTAAACCCTAAACCCTAAACCCTAAACCCCCAATCCACGATCCCGCCTCAGACAGGAGAAGGGACGAAGCGAAGTCATCAGGCTCCACGGCCCCATGGAGCATCTCCTCTCTGTTTTCTCTCTTGGATTTTGAGGGTTTTAGGGTTTAGGGTTTAGGGTTTAGGGTTTAGGGTTTAGGGTTTAGGGTTTAGGGTTTAGGGTTTAGGGTTTGAGTTTTAGGGCTTGGGGTTTAGGGGCTGTGGTTTATGGGCCCCAGCTACTTGGGGGCACATGTGGGCCAAGCTATATTTTCTAGGGCTGAAAGTCTGACCCCCGAATATGGGACCTTAATGTGGGGTCCTCAGATACGTACCATATACCTCATTCATATGTTTGCGACATGTGTACCTGTAAGGCTTCCTATGTTCTTCCAGATCTATTCGAGGCTTTGGCAGGTACCAGTACCAAGGAATAAGCAGCTTTCAGGGCTGTTTGGGCACTTGCCGGGTCAGGGAACCTGATCCCTGCAAAGACAGAGGGTCTCATTTCAGGCCAAGGTGGTGGGCTTCTTGCAAGGTCTGCCCTACCTCCGCTCTTGCAAATGAAGCATGCAGGGGCCAAGAAGCCTGCAGTAGAATCCCGAAAGATCCTACGCGCCAAGCAAGAAACCAAGTTGGGTCGTTCTGGCGTAAGGCATGAGGGTTGAAGTTCCTTTGCATAGTATCGTTTGGCAGACCCAAGAAAGAAAACGCGACATGGATCTCAATGAATGTTGAACACAACCTCCCCGACACCCTAAACCCTGAACCGTAAACCCCGAAGGGTTCGTGGGATAGACACTCCTTGAGCAGCTTGAGCATCTCTTCCCACTGTGAAGCCGCGCCACAAGCCGCAAGCGCGGTGTTGTAGGACACAGCCCCGAACTCAATGCCCTGAGACACGGGCGTCTTGTGCAGCCGGTTTAGGGCCTAGGTTGTGTTGCTGCTTGTGTCTTGTGAATTGTTGGTGGAGGAGGGGGCGGGCCCAACTTACGTGCCCCAGTACAAGCATAGGCTCTTACACAAGACAAGCCCAAATAACCCTTCTAGCTTAGCCTACTAGGCATTCTAAGGGGTACTAGAGTCCCTACTGAGGACTGTTAGTACCCCATAACCACCCCACAGCCGGAAGCTCTCCGAAACGCCGCCTGGGGCTCCAATTACCTACTATTGTGGGAGCCATGCATTGGGATGTTCCCCCCCCCTAATACTAGCAGTCCTTCATAGGGCTTCTCATAGGGGTACTATCATCCCTGTTAAGGCCTGTTGGGAAAAGTAGAAAATCCCGAGTTGTGCACAACTCTTGTAATTTAAGCAGTCCCTAGCTGTCTAGCAGTCAGGGCTGGGCAGGCTTCGGGTATCGGGTTTCGGGCAGTGGCTTCAGGGCTCAGCGATGCTAAAAGACTGACATGGTGCTATTGTATTCCTTATCATGAAGGGCTTGATAACGGCTTTTGAGTCTGCTTGGCCCAATCCTTCGACTCAGCAAGAATGCGAAACAGTTTCCAACCTGTCTGAACATCAACTTCTCGCTTACGGTTTACCTGAGCCTTCATATTTCCCATAGTAGCTTGCACGAGTAATATTTCCCAAAAACAGGGTACCCTGCACCCCCGAAAGTGCGATAATCTCTCGTCCAGCCCCTCCCAAAAAGGGTACCCGTACTTTCGGACCCATCTACCCTTTGCTTTGGGGATGCTTCGAGGGTCCAGACTGCCCCAGCTGCTTGGGGCCTCCAAGGGTGGCTTCGAGATCGCTCAGCTACACGCGCAGCTTCGATTCCAGGGTTTTGGGTTTCAACCCTAAACCCTAAACCCTAAACCCTAAACCCGAGACCCTCAACCCTAGACCCTAGACCCTAGACCCTAAACAAGAAGGCCGCAGGACCCCTGAGCTTGCCTTGACCCGCATCTCGTTCAGTAGCTCCTGGCGGCGAATGGTTCTGAGCCAAGATCCCTTTTGGGAAAGACCAAATCACGGATCCCATATTCTGAAAGGTCCCCGCCTTTTAGGGAAAAGCTCAACTTACCGTCTTTGAACTCACAGCCCCTTCGCCCCAAGCACTGGCAGGGACCAGCGCAGCGTTCCACTGCGAGCCGCGCGCTGCGGCGCTGGCGGCAGCGCTGAAACCTTCTCAGAGTTCGCTTCGGTTTCAGGGTCTATTAGGGTTTAGGGTTTAGGGTTTGAGGTTTAGGGTTCTAGGGTTCTTTCTGGGCTTGGGGTAAAGAAGCTAGACACCCCAAGCCTCACAACCTACAAGGGCTTTGGGGTACAAGGGTTTTAGGGTGGTGGAAAGGAGTCTGAAGGAACTTGGGGATGCGAGAGGGAATTTACAAAAGCCAAAGCCCTGAACCCTAAGCCCTAAACCTGCCCTAAACCCCTACATCCCTGAACAAGTTTATACTTGAAGGTTCGTGGCTAGCTGGCCATAATCAGTACCTGCATATCATAGGTTGCCTTTCTGATAGCCCTGCGAATAACTACCCATAAACCTGCACGTAGGTGCCATGGGCGGAGCTTGAAAGGTTTAGGGGGTTTTGGGTTTATGGTTTGGCTGCAATGGACGTGTTAAACAACCTGAAAAACCCTGAGCCCTAAACCCTGAACCTCAACCCCAAACCCCCTACACCCCCTGAGCCCTAAACTTCCTAAGGCCCCAGAATCCTGAATCTGAACCCTCAACCTCTTCCTAAAAACCGCGCTGCCAAAATCCAGCAATGCCTCCATTTGGACCTCCTACACCCGTTTAGGGTTTGGGGTTTAAGATTTAGGGTTTAGGGCTTACGGTTTCTTCAACCTTAAGCCGTTAAACATGGGTGTGAGATGGTTTGAGGGTTTCGCGGCTTAGCGTTTTCAGGGCCTTGGGTATTTGGGACCTGGGGCTTCAAGGTGCCAGTGCCAAGCAGCTGATGACGTTGGGATGGACTCTGTCCTTATGCACACCAGAGCTCACACGAAGACTCACATCAAGGTTGACAGTATATAGGGCTAAAGCCGAACCCTACGCTACACGCCTCTAAACCCCTATAAGCTCCCTCAACCCTGGACGCTAAGCTCACAGACCAAGAAACGATTTCAACCCCCGAGCTGAGAAGTGCGCAGAAAACTCGCGAATAGTCGAACAGTCTAAAAGTGTTCGGCTCGCACCTGCTGACTTTGGCACTCTTCGACTTTCGCATCTTTGCGTCCCGGGGCACATTCCGCACTTTCGACATTTCGCGTCCCGGAGCACTATTCGGACTTTCCGGAACGTTTCGCGCCTTTCGACTTCTCGCATCCATAGAACATGAGCACTTCTCGCACCGCTCCACATAGCTTTTGCGCTTGTCGGTTCTTCAACGTGTCACGTCTTTGAAGCTACTTGCTGTGACCTGTTCGAATTAGTCTCTACGGCGTCAGCAGCAATCAGAACTGCACGCCAAGCTCTGTTTCCTGTAAGACAACACATAGGAGAAAAAACAACGCACGCATCCAAAAGAACCACCCTAGGCCCCTCACCCCTTAGCTGCCAAGGCCCTAAACCCTGAAAACCGAAGCCATAACTTTCCAGGCTTTAACCTCACACACGGGGCCTAAATCCAAAGCCTGAACCCAAACAGGACTGTCTCTCAAGTTACACTGTCGCAGAAGACCCACCCACCTACCCTTCACACGCCGTGAAACCGTTTCCCTGGCAAAATGGCAGGCGCATCCTTTTTTGCTGTGGGATGCGCAGCCGAGTCCGTCCAGCCTACCCAAGCCTGAAAGAAACCAACTTCCCAACCGAAGGATTTTCAGGCGAGGGTTGGGCTGGTGGATCCCATCCTGTTTAAATTCCTCACAAGTCTCCTAGACTTGCAAGCAGCAGGCAAACCACTAACTCCTTTCTTCACAGGCAACCTGAGCTGCAAAGACAAGGCGCTGCAGGAGACCACAGAGCACACGCCACAACCTACCTCACCCTCAACCCAAGCGCGAGGAATAACCTCCCAACCGAAGGAAGAGACCTCGCGCAGCCGCCCTGAACACACCTAGCAAGGCAGCTCACCAAGGGTCACTCTGGCGCTAAGGCGCCTTGCAAGACTTGGCTTGACCGGCTGACTCTACGCAGCGCTGAGTCCGCTTCTGTTCTTTGACCAAGCGGATTTCGCCGTCGAGATGCATCGCTGCTTCCATCAACCTGGGCAAAATCTTGAAACCAAGCTCTGCGATGTCAACGCTGACCCACTTGCGCGGATCGAAGCCATTGAAGTCCTCGTTGGTCAGCGCGTCCGCGGGGGCATTCTGCTCTCGTGGCACCCAGGACAATGACAGAACCGACCCTAGCTCTTCCAACTGTACTGCCAGGTCCATCAAGATGACCGACAAAGGAAAGGCTGTCGTCATCATCTTGTCCACCAAGAAGAAACCTACCAGCTACCTATTGCTGCAAGCTGCACCCTTGCCTCGAGCAGCAGAGCTATAGCAACAAGCAACAAGACAATACGAAGCCTGCGTCGCTTCGCTCCGCACGCTACTATCTGTTCCGACAAACACCGAGACGCTTCAAGTTCAAACGCTTCGCTAAGCACAACCCGCAACCGCACATTCGGCCAAGATGCGCAAGTAAACAAAACAACCACACCCTGAGCTAAGACACAGCCAGCAAGCGCAAGACAACCACGCACTCAGCCGAAGCGCTCCAATACGCAAAAGAACCGTGCATGGAGCCAAGGCGCACCGAACCAAAAAACCGAAACTACCACGCGTGAGGTTAAGACATGGTATTCCCAGGATGGCATTTTCGAGCATATTGGGAGCATTTGTATTACAAAAGTCAGGCAGGGGGGTTTCGGCGGAAGTTCTTCAATGTGCATTTAATTTGCCTTTTTGATTTTTGTATTCCTAATTTCTTACAGCTACAGCGCTTTGTTTGCTTTGTAATTTGCAGATACCGATTGGTGGCGTAGGATTCAGACTATCCTCCGAACACCTATAAGCCCTAAACCCTGTGTTTTGCTTTCAACTTTGACGGTTCTAAGCAAGGTGAAGGGCCTTGCGCTCGCAAGTCTAGGGTCCCAAGACCACAAACCCTAAACCCTAAACCCTAAACCCTAAACCCTTTTAGGGTCTTAGGGTCTTAGGGTTTAGGGCTTAGGGCTTAGGGAAGAGGTGAACCCCTACAACCTTTCAACCCTCTACGCGCCCTTCGAGGAGCGCGAGGAACTAGCGAAAGCCGAGGGCTTCTTCCTCCCACCTCCACGGCTGGATAGAGCTTTTAAGCCGACGTTTCCAGATTTGCAAAAACTTCTGTTTGGGCCATTCAAAAGTCAGTGCGTTTCCCACTTTTTTTCGGGTCCCTGGAGCACTGTTCGAAACTTTTCGCACTTGTCGACGTTTCATGTCCTGGGGCACATGTCGACTCGTCGAGTCCTGGAGGCGCTTTTTGTCGACTTTTCAGTGCCTGGGCATGCCTGAGCCCTACCAGGACTTTTGGGGCTTGGGGAGGACACACCTAGAAAAAAGAACGGACCACGACCCGCCCACACGCGCATACACGCGCACACACACACACAAGGGGAATCATCTGGTTGGTAGCAACACTGACACGTTCTGAAGACATACCTCCCTCTACATCGATAAGGCTCGAGAAGATCTTAAACAAACAGACAGAAAGAAACCACAATCAACGATGCAAGATTGATGAACAATGCTCAAAGCTCCCAAACTTTCACCCAAACAAACAGCTTGAACTTCATCTCTTGCGCAGAACGGCCAAGTGTCACGCTTCATTTGCTGAAGCAACTCCAGAGCATCCGTCCACTGGTCCTCAGCTGAGGCTTGTTTCTAATCGGGCCCCGTTTGGCACACTCGATGAGGAAGGTGCTGCAATGGAGACCGCCAGAAGGGAGCCTCTTTCAATCCCAAGGCCTAAAGAGTCTTGGCCCGAAATCCCAAACCCTGAACCCTCAACCCCACCCGAAACGTTGCGTAATTACAATGTTTAACAAGTCCCTCTTCCCCTCCCCCTTTTTTCAGGGGTGTTTTGGGTCGCATTGGGGTTTAGAGGTCCACAACAACCCTGAAACGTATCACGTCTACTTCGTGTTTCAGGCATATACCACTCTTTACCCCCGTCAGAACCTCTTCCGAGCTCGAACCTCAATGTAATACCCGCATTTCCCTGAAAAACAGAGCCCCCGAAA